AAAAAAAAAAAAAAAAATTAAAAAAAAGTTATAACAAATATCCAAGTCGAAAACATTGGCTAGAGCGGCTTCACATAATCTTATCTCCGGTTCTCCCACACATGTCAAGTCTTTCTATCGCCAGGCATTCACGCATGGTTCTATTTCTAAGCGCGTGTGTCAATGTGACGTATTTCCCCCTCCACATACACACAAATACAAACACATAAATGTATATATATTTACCGTTTGATAAGCGTGTTCGTGCGTACTTTTTTACACGAAAAGTAAAGTTTGATATACTACACGAAACAATGTTTGCAAAGTAGCACACACATTTACCAGCAATGACTTTAAACATATTCTACTTTGTTGGTGTGGGTGTACGATCGCGCGCGTGTCCGCGTGTGCGTGGATTATTTTCGCTTATACCTTGGCGCACGCAATCTCAGAAGTGGTTCTCGCGTTGACAGGTTCCGAGCGAGTTTTCGCCGGCTTCGAGTCCCGATCGGCCAGTGCTTCGAACAAGGGATTCACGATTTCTAGATCCTCGAACTTCGTTAAATCCGACGCTTTGGGCGATTTTTCGATTTGATTCCGTTCATCGTGGAATTCAGTGTTTAGAAGGATCGAAGATTTCTGGAACTTTTTTTTAGAACTTAAATCGTGGAATTCAGTGTTTAGAAGGATTGAAGATTTCTGGAACTATTTTTTAGAACTTAAATCAAAGGGAACAAAGGATCCTAAATTCACTTCAACTAACAATGTGAAATCTACCAGGGAAAGAGGGAATCAATCATCAATCATCGGTGTCACTTTGAACACAGTAGAACACACTCTAGCCCTTCAGAAAAGAATTATTGATGTCTGGATCCTCTTCGAACATCGTGAAATCCATCGTATCAATCTTTTTTAAACTCGATTACTGAGTCCAATACTTTCTAAATTTATCTTGAACGGTGGGATTCGCTGGAATAAGAAGAATGACCGCCGTTGTCGAGAAGAAAGACTAAATCAATCAATGCCTTTGACAAAACATCAGTTATAATCTTTTCGTTGTGAAATCCGGTAGAAAGGGGAGATCGTTTTCATTAATAGCAAATCGCGTAACACGCGCAGGAATTCTTGTACAATGCGTGCAGAACGTGATGTACGCTTTGCTGGTGCTTAGGTCAACATCAAAGAGAAAGAGAGAAAGAATAATTCCCGCCGTGGGGAATTATGAATGATACTCAGTACGAGGATGATCGCGAGCCGGCCCCGTGTACCCGGTTGCTGGAAATAGCGTGCAATCTGCGCACGGAAACGTCGACAACTGGACAAATACGCTTGTTGCTCATTTCGTTCGCTGTGCGCCAACATGCTAACGTTGAATCGTGACGAACAGGAACCTTGGACTGGTATAACTATTCACGGTGAAGCTCGATTGTGACATTAACAAAATTAATTAGATTCTACTTTTTCTTATTTCATTTGAAGATTCTTCTGCAAATGAAATGCGCGTCAAGTGCTTTCATTGAATCGTGACGAAGGAGAACCTTAAACCTGGTTGTTCGAAATGAAACTTCGCTATACAAGTGCCAATCAGTGAAATTTATTTTATTTTCATTTTTTATCCGAGGATTGTTGCGCAAATGCGACTGCGAAGAA